TGTGAGAGGGACAGCACAGCAGGAGGGGCACGGGGGCAGAGGCCAAGAGGCCCATTCGGCCTCACACTGGAGGATGCAGGCTGTCGGTGGGAGGTGATGTTGAGTTGGAACTCAAGCCACGGAGAGAAAGGGCCCGGAACCATGAAGTGGGGGCTTTAGGGTCCGAATGCACCACCTCTGGGCGCTTCCTGCCAGGGTGGAGGCAGTTCCCGCTCAACCGACCCCAGACAGGCACCATCACCCTCTCAGGCTTCCCCCAGCTGGGTGAAGTGGAGTGGGTGGAACGGGGGTTCCTCCCAGATCCTTTATCATCTTGGAGCCTTTAACTTACGGGGTCTGGCCCCGCTTGGCTTTGCTACGAGGTTTGTGAGGAGGAGCTGAGCCTCTGTGTCTGTGTGCAGGCTAACGGGATGCCGAGGCCAGGCTGTAGGCCAGAGGGGAGGCCCAGCCTCCAGGAGAACGATTAGGGCTGAGACGAGAACCAGCGCCCCTCCCGCGTGGGCAGTCTCCCTCCTCAGACACCCAGGGGTCGGGGGTTACTTTTATTGCAGAAGGCAGCTGTCATCCTGGAGGGTGATGTGGGGGTCCTGCTGGAGGGAGTGTAGCTCTGGATTCTTCTACGGTCCTGTTCCCCCCACCATTTTCATCAAGGAGTCCACCCGGACTGGCCCAGCGTCCTGGGCCTGGGTAGGGCCATGGGGGAAGGGACAAGGGCTAGGAGAGGCCACAGCTGCCCCCGTGTGTCCAGGCCCTGTCTGCATCTAGCATGGCCCTTAAGCACTTATCCTCACCCAAATCCTAGAAGTGGAGTCAACACTGGAGGAATGTGACCAGAGCCTGGTGCCACCCTGAGTGATGGCACCTCTGAGATCTGAGACATGGGGTGTGGGGGTGCGGTGGGGGACCAAGGAGGGGTGGGGCGGGGGAGCAACCCCCTGAGCAGCCCAGTCGAGTCCCTCAGAGACAGGGACCCAGAAGCCCCCTCGAGAAGGTTCTGCCTCTTAGCCCCTGGACAGCAGGCCGGGGTAGGATGAGGAGCAGCCTCTGACCTCTCGTCCTGGGAAGCCGCAGTGACTTGGGGCCTGCGGCAGAAGCCAAACTTGCAGAGGGAGATTGCAGAGGGAGGCGGTGCTGTCCCCCAGCCTGGAACCCCTGGCCTGGAACCCCTACCTGGAACCCCTGGCCTGGAACCCCTGGCCTGGAACCCCTGCCTGGAACCCCTGCCTGGAACCCCTGCCTGGGACCCCTGCCTGGAACCCCTGCCTGGGACCCCTGCCTGGAACCCCTGGCCTGGAACCCCTGCCTGGAACCCCTGCCTGGGACCCCTGCCTGGGACCTCTGCCTGGAACCCCTGCCTGGGACCCCTGCCTGGAACCCCTGCCTGGGACCCCTGGCCTGGGAGGCCCGGCTGAGGGGCAGTAAAAATGCCCCTAGTTCGTGTTCTCCCTCCTTCCTCACCACGACCTCCGCTACAGACGACATGCTGGGCTCCAGCTCCAAGACACACAGCTCTAGAGGCGGGGCTTCCTCCACGGCACCCCTCGCACGGCCAAGGCTCTTTCAGTGCCCCCCCAATCCGCTCTGTGCCTGGGGCGTTCACAGGACGGGAGAAAACGAGGGACCCTCAGCTCACGGCTTCACTGCAGTCTCCTACCCTCCCCCCCTCGAGCGACTGCGGAGAGCTGCGACCAGACAGTGGCACACAGAGGCCCACCCGCCTCCGTCCTCACAGGTCCACCTCCAGGTTGTCCACTCTGGCCTCAATGAGACCCTCCAAGGACGTGGTTTGCAGGCCTGACACCAGATAGCAAGAGAGCCGAAAGTGGCAGGCAGATTCCTCCAGCGTTGCGGAGTCATGAAAGATCATTTCCGCCATCCTCCTGCCTCTGTGATGCAGGGCCTCCGTGCTAAGGGTGTGCTGCCTGTGCCCCCGGCAAACGGCACCCCTTCCCGCTCTGCCCAGCCCCTCACAGGCCCTGCCTCTCTGGGTCTAGCTCACTGTCCACTCATTGCCACCGTGTGCCACAGGCCACAGGCTAGACCCCCCAACTGTGACGCTGATTGCTATGGCACTATGACCTCTCACAGACATAATCTCATTAATCTTTCATAGCAGCATAGGAGGTTCAGAGAGGCTAAGGAACACATCTGAGGTCACACAGCTCATAAATGGCAGAGCCCTGGGCTTGGCTTTGATCAAGGCCACTCTGCCCCTGGAGAGTCTCAGTGCTCTATTGAGAGCCTGCCCCACAGGGGCTGTCAGGCACAGGCAGCATCTGAGCTGGCTGAAAGCAAGCCAGGTTACTGCCTTCTTTGCCCTGAAGCATAGCTGGGAAGGAGCTCAGTGGTCAATGCCAGAGTCCTGTGGGGCAAAGGGCTCTTCTCCCCATGCCTTTGTGTACCAGGGACAGTGGTATGTTTTGTGTAAGGAAATGTCAGAATTGCTTTCCCTCCACGGTTAGAAACAGCCCTCATGGTCACGAGTGGGTGGTCAGTGTTGCTTCGACAAGAGCAGGAGAGAGACTGACAGAGAACAGGAAGCATGCGTGGAGATTTGTATCATCGTCATCATCACCAACATCATCATCGTCATAACCACCATTATCACCATCACCATCATCATCACCACCATCACCACCAACATCACCATCATTGCCATCACCACCATTATCACCATCACCATCATCATTACCACCATCACCATCATCGTCATCATCACCACCATCACCATCACCACCCTTATCACCATCACCATCATCACCAACATCATCACTATTGCCATCACCATCCTCACCATCACCGTCCTCACCAGCTCCATCAGCATCAGCATCAGCATCACCATCGTTAGGCTGCAAAACCAAGTCAAGGCAGAGCAAGAGCAGAATGCAGGCCCCTGGTCTGAGCCCAGGCTCTTTCTACCGCCCCACATTTCCTCAGAAACACAGCTCCCTCTGCCACTGGCCTTCAGCTCTCACTGTGAATCCACTGAATCCCTCTGGCACCATCATTCGCGAAAGACCAGAGCCGGGAGGATGTATGGAGCTTAGGTCCAGACGTCGAGGTAGAGTTCCAGAAGAACCAGGGCTTTTTGTCCTTCTGACTCCACAGCCTTCCACAGCCACAGGCTTCCTGTGAGCTCAATAAATAGAACTCCACAAGTCCTGCAAGGGGGGAGAGAAAAGCCAGCCTCTGCCCCGCCTGCCTGGTCCTTCTCCCCGATGTCCCCGACAACTGGCTCTACTTCTGTGAGCTAACTACCTACAAGGCCAGTGCAGGGCCCCTCTCCTGGGCGTGAGTTCAGCCCTGCAGAGCATCAGCCCTGTTTTACATAGGGACATGGGCTCAGAGATTCTGGGTGAAGCATCCGGGCCACTCCTCCAGTGAGTGGTGCAGTCACAGCCCTGTCATGGTACCCCCCCCCCCCCGCCCCACAACTGTTCCTGCCATCACCATTGTGGCTCAGCGGGGCCCTCCTTGCTCCCGCTTCACCAGCTGTCCCTGCTGAGGCTCTGTCTGAGGCTGTAGGGGGGCTGCTCTCGCTGAAGCCTCTCTCGGGGGAGGGCAACAGATGCTTCCTGAGGGCCCACGATGGGCCAGGCTCTGGGCAGGGGCTGGGGGCGTGCAGAGGAATCAGACCTGCCCTGCCTTCAGGAAGCCCGTCTGGGGTTACCAAGCCTCAAGCCAGACGTTTCAAACACATCATCTCATTTAATCCCCACCTTGTGAAGTCAGTACTTGTGTTCCCTTGACACAAATGGGAAGACAGAACCTGAGAGGTTAAGTGCCCTGCCCAGGATCACACAGCCTGGAGCTGCTCTTCGTACACTGCTGCCTCCCAGGGCTGTGTGGAGACTCACCAGCCCCCTACACCCCAGCCTCTCTCACCCCCCACCAGCCTGAGCCCCCCAGGCTGGTTGTCACCAGCCACTGAGGGATCTGCCTGCAGGCTCCTGCACCAGTCGGGGTCATCGGCCAGCAGCCAAGGCAGAGCTGACACCCAAGACCTGGAATACCATAAATTCAAAGTGTGCTCGGTCACCCCTTCCGGCCCCGCATGGCACTGTCGCCTTCGGCTTCCGGTCTGCGATCTGCTCTGGTTGATGGTGATGAGTCACCTGTCCCTGCTCCAGGCAGCTCCTCAAACTCCTCTTCCGTTGCAGACTGCTTCCGCGTGAACTTTTCAGCCTGTGGAATCGGTCAGTCTGGCCACCCGGAGTGGGCGCTGCCGCAGAGGGAGGGGCCACCCACTTGCACCCGCCCCGAGGCACCCCTGACAGCGGCTCCCCTCCTTCCAGCTGTGGATGGGCGGCTGTGGCGCGAGGAGCCGTCGGTGCCCGGGGTTGGGTCACAGCCCCCCACTCGGGCGCTGCCTGGCCCTTGTCTGCCGCCGTCCCCATCTGAGGGATGGGAGTGTTCCCTGTGGACCCCCGGAGTGCTGAGGCGTGAAGGCGCTCAGCACAGCCCCAGGACAGGAAATGCCCAACAGGTGTTCAGTATCCAAGGGACCAGAGTGTCCGTGTCAGGACAGAGCCTCCTGACGAGGCCGGGACTGGGATCTTTCGACTCCTGACTCCTCACACAGAAGGTTCCAGAAGGATTCACCTCTAGGGAGACCTTCCTGCCGGGGCAGATGCCACGCTCCCAGCAGCCTGCCTGCCATCTTCCGGCCCCAGCCCCCCTCACTCCTCAGGGATTTGGCGTGTTGGGGTGGTGCTAGAGAATCCATAACACCCTCCCCACACCCACCGCCTGGCCGGAGGTCCGGGCTGAGACCAGCTGCCCCTTGGCATCCCAGCAGGGAGGTGCCATGAGCTCACAGGGCCTGGGGAGGCCAGGGCTGTGGACTGAACGTTTGTGTCCCTGTAAAATTCACGTGTTGAAGGCCCAAGCCTCAGTGTGACCGTATTTGGAGATGGGCCCTTTAAGGAGGTGGTCAAGGTTAACTGAGGTCATAAGGGTGGGGCCCTGATCCAGTAGGACTGGCATCCTTATGAGAAGAGGGAGAGAGAAGACCATGTGAGGACACAGTGGGAAGGCCGCTGTCTGCAAGCCAGGCAGGGAGCTCTCCCCGGAAACGGAACCTGCTGGCACCGTGATCTTGGCCTCCAGCCTCCAGCACCCCGAGAGATGAGTGCTATGGTGTGTTCTGTGTGGCGGCCTGAGCTGAGACGCTGAGGGAGCATCAGACCCCAGGCAGGACCCCTGGGTGGCCCTGGCCCAGCCCGTCATGCCCCTGACAACCTGGACCCAGCTCAGACGGGCCCAAAGTGGAGGGGAAGAGCTGGGGGTTGCCAATCCGGAGGAAGGCAGACTAGGAGAGGCCGTTCCTCGGGGAGAGGGCACAGAGGGTATCATCCATGAACGTCACAGCAGGGGTTCTCACACGTGAGGGGCATCAGGGTCCCAGCAGACACCTCAAAACAGACTACTGGGCCCCACTCTGGAGTCTCTGACTCGGTGGGTCTGGGGTGGGGCCTGCGAATTTTCATTTCTAACAAGCTCCCAGGTGCTGAAATGCTGCTGCTCCAGGGACCACTTTTGAGAATCACTGCACCCAAGAGTGTGAGTCCAAAGTTCAAAGGTAGAGCAGGAAGCTGAGGGCCCCCCTCCGCCTCCTCTGTCCCAGAATGCCATTGTGGGGCCAGGATAGCAATGACGTAGGAAGAGGGCTGACATTTGACAGACCCAGTGATGTGGCTGGCCCGTGCATCAACCCATTTTACCTTCCGGACAAAGTGAGGAGGTGGGCGTTACCATCCCCATTTTACAGACAGGAACCCCAGCTCAGAGAGGTGAAGTGACTTGCCTCAGGTCACACAGATATGCACAGGGCCAAAGCCCCTGCTTCTCTCGTTCTCTTGGTGACCTGCCATCGCTGTGACCTGGGGCCCACAGGGACGGCCAGGCCTCAGAGCACTCATGTCTCCCCAGAAACTGCTGCCGGGAACAAGAGAGCAGACTCATATGGAGATGCAGAGGAAGCCTTTCTCGCTGGTCACCTGGGCTCGGGGTTTCCTGCTAGTTTCAAACGGCTGGGAGTAGCGAAATCTATGGTTGCGTTTTACCATCTCCTCCCAAACTCTCCCTGAGGATTGTTGAAATGCAGCCCAGGTAGGAAGGAGGTGTGTGTCCCCGGCTGCGGCTGCCAGGTCGCGAAGCTGCAGTCCCACAGACAGAGCCATGAGCCGGGGTTTCTATGACAACCCAGGCTGCAGTTGTCTGTAATTATAATTAACTTCAGAGCTGATCATTCTCCGGGACCCTTCTGGTGGGGAAAGAGGAGGCAGCGCACGACAGCAGTGAAAAGCCAGGGGGATGGACGACCCGAGCCTCTGGGTCACCCCTGTCTGGGAGCCTTCAGGGAACAGGAGTCGAGAGGGACATGCCATACAAGGTTGGGGGCACCACCAGGCTGGGCAAACACCCCCCAGAGGCTGGCTGCATGGGGACCTTGTCAAGAGCCCTGCCACCCAGTACATTTACCTCCTCCGAGCTCCCTCTTGGGGGGTATGGGAGCCAGGGGCAGAGTTGTGGGCACCAGAGAGCCTGGGTCCTTGTCCTGGCCCTGCCTGACTTGGGTGGTTCAGAGCACAGCTCACTGGGACCTGAGAACACGGAGCACAGAACACTGGTGTCCCCGAGCCCAGTGGAGGGTGAGGGCTGGCCCAAGATGAGGAGAGGGGCAGTGTCCAAGGCCCAGCCAGTCCCCAGACCCCATCCGACCCCAGACAGGGTGCAAGAAATGCTAAGGATGGCAGGGATTCCCGAGCATTGACTGTGTACCAGGCCCCGGGCTGAGCCCCTCAGATGTATCTGATCCCAGGAAAACTCAGACCCATTTGGCAGATGAGCAACGGAGGCATGGGGGTGGGGGTGGGGTTGGTCCAGGCAGCCTGCTCTCAGCACCTGCTCCCGTGGGCCCTGGCCTCACTTTTAACTGTCATACACAGCAAGGTTCACTGACGCTTTGATTGGGGGAAAAAAGGACTCTGCTTCCAAAGTGGTTTGAAAACCACTGTTATGGTCCAACCTCCTTTACAGAGACGGAGACTGAGGCTCTGGGAGGTGAGGCGACCTGTGCAAGATCACACAACTCGTCAACACATCAAAAGGCCACTTCAGTCAACACAGTCAGGATTCTGACGACCTCCGGCTTTACGTGATTCATATGGATGGGATTTTTTTTTTAATATGTCGAAGATTTCTACCAAGTTTGGGCTAATTCTTCTCCACTTCACTTCGTAACAACATTCAAGCTACGCTGCACTTGTCTCTGTCCAGCTCCCTACTGCTTCAGCCAGAGGAAACTGAGTCCGAGAGAGACGATGGAGGGGAGAGCCAGCGCAGCACAGGCTGGGCTGCCCACCCCCTAGAAGGTGAAACTGAGGGTCAGAGTGGAGCTCTGGAGGTTAGGGAAGACTAGGGAGGGCAGAGATGGGAGGTTGAGGGATCAGGGAGAGGGGACAGAGGGACAGAGAGAGGAAGTTGAAAGGCACGGAAGGGGACACTCAGGGACATAAGCATGTACATTTGTAAGAATTCCTCACCCTCAAGAATACATTCAGGGGTATTTTCAAGAAGATATTCAGTATACTCGAGAATATAGTCAATCATATTTACAGATGAAATGCTATGGCTGGAATTACTTCAAAATAATCCAGATTTGGGAGAGGAGAGAATGGATGGGGACAAAGATCAGACACGACTGGTCACACACTGATCCCTGTTGACATTGCACACGGTGCTCCTTACATTATTCTGTTTGCATATGTTTGAAACTTCCCATCATAAAAAAGCTTTTTTAAAGTATATAGTATAATATGTTTCAGAATTTCTTAATGAATAGTTTTTTAATATACAGTCGTGCATCGCTTAACGACGGGGCTGTGTTCTGAGAAATGCATCATTAGGCAGTTTCACCATGTGAATACGGTAGAGTGCACTTACACAAACCTAGATGGGCTAGCCTGCTACACACCCGCGCTGTACCATACTAACCCTGTGGGACCACCGTCATACGTGTGATCCGTTGCCAACTGAGACATCTGTTATGTGACGCATGGCTGTAGTTGTCTTTATAAGAAGAGATTAATGAATTAATGCCCTCAGCCTCTCCCTTCTCTGCCCCCGACTCTCTCCCTGTCTCTCCTTTTCCTCTCTCTCCCTCACTACCTCAGCCCATCTCTCTGTGTGTCTCTCTCTCCTCCCACCATCTCAGTCTCTGTCTCTCTGTCTCTCTCTCACCCGGGAGTCAGCAGCCAAGCTTAGCAGCTGCATACTGATTCTCCTCTGTCTTTCCTCCAGAACGTTTGTTAAAATACTGGTACAAGAGAAAAATAAATATTAGTCAAACAAAACATCACAGAAATCTTCCAAATCCATCCCATCCTGCACGATTTGCTGTAAATGTTAGAAGCCAGACGACTTGGCCCTTTGTCCCTGGGCTTTGGGTGAGCCCACTCTGGGCACACTGGCTGCTGCCATGCGGCTGGTTCTCAGGGCGGAGACGGAGCTCACACCTGAGCTCCTGTGCAGACCTGTGCTATCCTATCACCCACAATGCAAAGTCGAGTTGCCACTATTATTACTTGGGAATGTCTCCTCCCTTTCCGGGATCAGTTTCCCCATCTGTAAAAGAAGTGGAGGACAAGATGGTTACTAAGCCCCTCCCAGGCCCGGGATGTGACACGGCTCAGCGCTACCCTTCCTGCAAGGACAGTTGGCATTACTGGGCTGGGGATCCATTCTGGGAGACAGAGAGAGCTCAGGTCTCCCACTCCTCCCCTCCCAGCTCATGGCACGGAGACATGGAGAGAAAGAGGAGGTCAAGGGGCAGTCAGGGGCTGCATGGGGTCCCAGCCCTGCACCAGGCTGGTGCCCCAAGACCAAACCTTTCAATTCAGCCCTTCTGCCCGGGTTCTCTCACTCCATCTGCCAAGAACCACAGGAGAAGCCGAACATTCCCGAGTGTGAGCCCCCCAGGTGGGATGACCAGCTGTCCCACTTTGCCTAGTCTGAGGGGCTCCCACAAAGCTGGACTTACAGCGCTACAACCAGGATGGTCCCCGTCAACCTGGGTGACCTTGTCGCCCTACTCCCAGGCAAGTTGGCTGCATAAATTATTAGCAAAGAGGAATATGGGAGGGGAAGGAAGTTTAACTTTAGCTGTGATTACCCAGCTTTGGGAGATGAGGGAAGCAGAGGCTGTTTATGAACTGCAAGTCCTGTGATTAAAATAGCAAAACACCAGGCCAGCGCTGGTCAGGGAGACCCAGCCGCAAGAGCATTTGCATTCCTGATGTTACGAGACTTTGTCTCCCTCATCCAGAAAAGGCAGCGAGCCAATATGAAGCATCCTGCTTCTTTGAGCCAATCAGCCAATGAGACCCAGAGCCCTGCTCAGCAAGAGGAACAAGAAAAGTGACTTACTGAGGGAGGGGTCGGGCTAGGAGATGCTGGCCCAGAGGAGCTGCCACCTGATGCTGCCTCCGAGCCTCCAGCTGCCAGAGGCTGCATCAGCCCCATACGTCCCAAGGGCGCCTGCCAGGACCTGATCCTTGGGCGCAGACGTGGAATGAGAAGGTGATGGGTTACTGGTACCACCTCCTTCTCTGCCCACCACACTCAAAACACAGACCTACCCCTTCTGAAAGAGGCTGAGTCTGAGTGGGATATGTCCAAGCGGATCTTGTCATAAAGTCAAGATCAGTTAATTCATTCAGCTCCCCTCTACTTTGTTAGCACCACTGCCTTTTCCCCTTGGAATGCATAGGCAGTGGGCTGCTTGATCTTCTCAAATTAAGTGGCCCATGGTCAAAATGTATGACCAATAATGGCTAAAGCACCCAAGTTATAAATTGCTTATTTTTGTGGTAAATTAGAACAGAGCCTGTGGTATCCCTGTAGTGACACTGCCCTCACCCAGTAGTGGTTGTGACGTCTGGGTGGGAAAGCAGTTACAGGTGGTACAGAGACATGTAACCTGAGCCCACCTAACAGGACTGGCCTCGAACTTGGCTGAACCTACAGGGGAAAGGCCAGGCAATGGGGAGTCACCCTGCTTTGGGACTGGGGGAAAATCTGCACGATTGATCCCAGGAAGAGACGGATGGGAAGACGAGTTGCTCAGTGCCAAGTACATACACAATGAAAAGCAAGCCACGGAGTTAGTCAAATGTGAGTGCCATCCAAGCTTGAGATCACAACGAAAATTCAAAAATATTTTGTATGGAATAATAACCTCCTACAGAGCAAAATGTGTGGGATGCAACCACAGCTGTGGTTAGAGGGAAATTCCTAGCCTTAAATGCAGAAAGGAAGAAGGATCGAAAAGTAATGAACTCGGATCCATCTGCAGAAGTTACAAAGGGACAGCAAAATAAATCCAAAGAAAGTAGAAGGAAAGAATAAAAGTAAGAACACAAATTAATGCACTAAGAGACAGAATCAACAAAAGCTAAAGTTGGTTTCTTGAAAAGACTAAACAAACTTCTGTTTCAAATGATCAAGAAGAAAAGAGATGACAGCTACTAAATTCTGGCAGGTAAACAGCACCTCCGCCTATTACTAGCTCTGTGTCTTTGAATTAATCAACCTCTCTAAGCCTGCTCCTTCATCTTAAAGTTAAGAACTATATTACCCGCCTCATGAGCTGTCACGAGGTTCATTGTGAGAATGTGTGCTAAGTGTCTGGCAGATAATAGAAATTAAATAAGTCATAACAGTTAAGTCATGGCGGTGGCAGTGCTTGAGAACATTCTATCGGAGCCCAAAGTGCTGCAGGGGGACGGGCGAGGGGGGACCCCTTCTTCTCCTGGGAGGAGTCAGGGAGGAGCCATTTCCAGGCTAAGCCTTGGAGGATGAGTAGAATTTAGTAGAAGAGGGAGCACAACCCAGGCTGGGAGCAGAGTGAGCAGGACACAGGAGGCCTGGGGCCAGAGGTCCGTCCCTTCCCCATAAAACACAGCTTAAGGGGAGGAAGGGCCAACCGAGGGGTCGAGGCCTCTGCGGGCAGCTGCACAAAGCAGTGGGCTGACAGGTGAGGCCAACGCTGAAAATACAAATGGGCCTGGCTCATGGCCTCGTGCATTATGCGGCAAGGGTAAATAATGGATGACCTGGAATTTTTTTTTTAACCATTTGGTTACCAGTTTCTGTCTAGGATGCTGAAAACACAATGGTCTTACCCAGTCTGTCTCTATAGTTAAGAGAATGATTTAATTCTCATTATCTCCAGGCTAATCGAGATGGTATTTTCTGCTGGAAGCAAGTAAGCAAGTTTCCCACAAACCAAGCCAGCTTCTCCCAGAAGACAGGCGTTCTCGCCGGCTCTGTGCGCTGTCTCAAAGATCTCGGTCTGCACAATGGGCGACACTGAGGTGAAGAGACCTATGCCTCTGAAGCTGGGGGCGTTGGCTTGTAAACCTCCTGGATCCTGCCTCTGGGGAGAAAAGAGAATCAACCCAGGATATCCTCTGCCCACCTGTGGGGCTCTGCCACCCCACAGGAGGGTTGTGGGTGGGGACCCTCTCAGACGGAGCCTGATCGGGGTGAGGTGCCGCCCTCCCCAGAAGAAATGTGTCTAGACCCGGGTTAGAGAGAGGGAAGTTCTAATCCTCCCAACCGAGGGATGGAGGGGTCCCCCGAGGGGTCATAATAAGGACTTCGGGGTCACAGAATGTATTATCAGCAGAGTGACCCATGACCTTGGGCTCCTCTAGAAACAGCGATCGCTATCTGATCCAGCAATTGCACTCTTTTGTGAACTTATGTTCACACAAAGATCTGTACACGAGCATTCACAGCAGCTTTATCTGTAACAGGCAAAAACTGGAAACAGCCAGAAGTCCTTCAAAGAGTGAACAGTAAACACGCCGGCCTGGGCCTGCCGTGGAACACGTGCCGCAACAAAGAACAAACTCTTGACCCGAGAGACAACCCGGGCTGCTTCAGAGAACGACGCTGAGTGCAAAAAGCCAATCCCAAAAGCTGCCACACTGTTTGAGCTCACTTACAGGACTCTCCCATGATGACAGAAGTATGGAGATGGACAACAGACCAGTGGTTGCCAGAGGGTGGCGGGCACAGTGGGAGGGAGGTGGGTGTGGCCACAGGAGAACAGCTGGAGGGATCCCTGACACGTGGGGACTGTCCAGGGTCTTGACTGTGGCGGTGGATCCGCAAACCGACATGGGTGATAAAGTGCAGAGAACACCAGGGAATGAGTACAAATGACACCAGGGACATCTGAGGGAGATGGGTGGGTCTCCCTCCCAGGATCTCTCTGGCTTATTTCTTAGAACTGCAGGTGAATCTACAACTATCTCAAAATAAAAGATTTCACTTAAAAAGTAGTTATCATATGACGCTGAGTGAAAAGAGCTGACCACAAAATTTAACGTGTGTTATGATCAGTGCTCTTTTAAGACCCCCAAATTTACACGCCTCTACTAAAACTGGGCAGTGGCTTATCCCCTGACCCTGCACTCCTACAGCTAAATATATTCCCCAGAGAAATGGGGGCCTGTGACCACAGACACGTGTGCAAGGTGAATAGCAGCTTTATTCACAATAGCCAATAGTCAGGGACAATCCCGATGTCCCTCAACGGCAGAACTAACAGACAGTGTTGTGTTCGTCCAACGGAATCGTTAACGCGGCGATTAGAAACACAGTCCAGCGCTCTGCGCACGCTGATGAGTCTCCCTGACGTGATAATGAGCAAAAGAAGCCAGACGCAAAGGCCACAGACTGTGGCTTCATTCACAGGAAGTTCAGGCACAGGCAAGACCATCCCAGGTGGTGGTCAGATCGTGGTTCCCAAAGCAAGAGGTGGGATGGCCAGGAGGGGCCTGCGGGAGCCTCGGGGAGCTGCGTCCTTCTCTGTCCTGATCCCGGTGGGGGTGCACGGGTGTGTATATGTGTGAAACTTAATCTAACCACACACCTAAGATTTGTGCATCCTGCTTTGTGTGTTGTATCTCGATAAACATTTTTAAATGAGAGAAAAAGCACTTACGTCTCAATTAAAGAGCAGAAGCCGGCCCAACAGCGTGTTAGCAGGGCTCTCTGTTTATATATGGGTTATGGGCGTATTTTCCTCTTGCTTCTCTCTCTATTTTCAAATTTTCTCTAAAGTGAAGATGCATCACATAGGAGAAAGTTTTTTTTTTTTTTTTTTTTTTTTTTTTTTAAAGATTTTATTTTTTCCTTTTCCTCCCCAAAGCCCCCGGGTACATAGTTGTGTATTCTTCGTTGTGAGTTCTTCTAGTTGTGGCACGTGGGACGCTGCCTCAGCGTGGTCTGATGAGCAGTGCCATGTCCGCGCCCAGGATTCGAACTAACGAAACACTGGGCCGCCTGCTGCAGAGTGCGCAAACTTAACCACTCGGCCACGGGGCCAGCCCCACATAGGAGAAAGTTTACAGAAGCAGCAAGTGTTTTTGTTTTAGGAGAGTATTCAGCAGTCTCTGTCATTGAGGTCTTCTGGAAAGGGTGACCCTTTGGGAAGGGTTTCTTTCTCGCTTCGCCCCCAGGCTATTGTGGGACATGCTTTCGTTGGGGACACAGAGCTGGATGAGCCTTGGTCCCCACCTGCCAAGGAGCTCATAGAGGGCTGGGTCTGCAAGGAGGCAGCTCGCAGACAGGCGATGCCCTCTGCAGACGTAAGCGCTGCAGCAGGGCCACCGTGAGGGCATCTGGAACACAGCTTTCCCCAAGTGCCACGGTCTTAGCCGGCCCCAGCAGCCATCATAAAACACCACAGATGGGGGTTTAAACAGCAGACATTTATTTCTCACAGTTCCGGAGGCTGGAAGTCCAACATTGCGGTTCTGATAGGGTTTGGTTTCCGGTGAGAGCTGTCTTCCCGGCTTGCAGACAGCTGGCCACCTTCTCTCTGTGTCCTCACAAACCTCCCTCCTCCCACAGGGGGGCACTCGGGGGGCCTCCTCACTTCCCTCCTACCTAAGGGGGGCCTCCATCACCTCCCTCCTCCCACAGAGGGGCCTCCATCACCTCCCTCCTACCTAAGGGGGGCCTCCATCACCTCCCTCCTCCCACAGAGGGGCCTCCATCACCTCCCTCCTCCCACAGCAGGGCACTCAGAGGTCCTCCATTGCCTCCCTCCTGGCTCTCTTTCTCTGCCTGAGGCATGAGAGCCAACTCTGGGTGAGGCTCCAAGGTGCCCCAGAGGCCTGAGCCTAGGGGTGGTGAGCAGGGCTGCTCCTATCCACTGAGGGGCCTGCCCTGGGGGAGGAGGCGTAGGTGGGGGCTTCAGAGTGGAGAGCTGGAGCTGGGCCTCCCCTTGCACCTGCCCAGGCTGCTCCCCGGCGACTTGCTGAGCCCCGGCATTAGATTTTCAGTAGCAAGAGCAGGTCAGCATTAGCCACTATCGCGCATGTTGGGGGTGGGGGCTGTGGTGGGGGAGGAAGGGGACCGAGAAAAGGGGAACAAAATCAAGGAAGGAGATGAAAGGAGAGAGAGAAGAGAGAGGAGAAAGAACACGAATCATAGGCAGCACCTCTAGATGCTTCTGTGACCCAGGCCGTCCAGGGAGCCCCCGCTGCCCCAAAGGGGAGGGGCTGCTGCTGTTGCTGTCCCGTTCTGCAGATGAGGAAACTGAGCACAGACAGTCTCAGTCACTTGACTCAGGACTTAACAGCAGCAAGTAGCACAGCAGGGCTTGAAGCAGCCAGCGAGCGCCATGAGGAGGAGGGAGACAGGAGGATGGGGGGACGAGAGGGGCAGGCAAGGGAGAGGGGCAAGGAGACTCAGTCCTTCATTCACCAGGCGTTTCCCGAATGAAACCTGCCAGGCACTACGGGAGGCCGGTCGCCAGGGCCCAGGCTTGGTTTCACGCTGTGCTGTCGCCATGTTGAAATTCTTGTTAACAGTTTCGAGCAAGGGTCCCCACATTTTATTTCACAAACTATGTCTCCAGCGCTGAGTGCAATAATGAAGTGCACACCCCAAGCCCCTCTCCTTCAGGGGATCATAGTCTAGAGGCCTTGTCAGAAGGAAGAGGGGAAGGGGCCTGAGAAAGCACAGGAAGTGAGTGTCTGCTGGAGACACAGGGTGGACTGGGGAAGGGCCCGGACTGTCCTTTAGAGCCAGAGAGGCATAACTCAATTCTTTTTACAATTTCATTACTGGGAAAAATCTATCGGCCCCAGGAGCATTCTGCTCACAAAATTGAGCTAAAAACAAAAGGGCATTCATTGTGCCTTCCCCGAGCTCTGAGCTGAGCCGGATTCCCATAAATCTTTGATAAGTAGAGAATGGAGAGCCTCGCTCAGCCTTGTGGTCGCCGCCTGCCCCGGGTCCTCCAGCTGGAGATGGTGGAAGGGAGAGGGAAGCAGCATGGAGGAGGGTGGCATGGCGCCAGCACAGTGCTGCCCTCACCTCCATCACCCCCTTAGCCCTCCCCAGAATGGCGTGAGGGAGGGATCAGCACTCCCTGTTTAGAGAAACTGTGAGTAACTTGTCTGGTGTCATGTGGCCAGTGAGGGGTTGGGTCAAGACCCAACCCAGGTTTGTCTGACTCCCAAACCCATGCCCTGTGAACTCGCCACGTCCCCCCCACTCGGTATATTCATGTGAAAACACATTTAGCTAAATTCATGCTAAAATCCCTCAAAGGAGCTGTGGTACCTCTCATCTTTGGGCCTTGGCCAATGGGGGTGCCTCAGCCTGGAGCAGCATCCCCCTGCACTCCCCACCAGGTTTTCTTCCCAAGTCTTTAGACATCCCTGAAGCAGACCTTTCTCCTGAGCCCTCCCAGACCCCGGCCCCCGGGGTGCAGGTGCCCCCACAGCCGGCTCCCTGTGCTCTCCTTTCCTCCTAACACCACAAGACCGGGTTTCTGTCCAGACAGCGTCTGACACACAGCTGACACTCAATATTTCTTATTGAAAAACTATTTGAGGGATGTTGGCCCTGTGGAAGTGTCCGTGACTGTTCCTTTCTCTGCCCAGCTGACCGGCTGACCTGCTCTGTCCCTCATGAAAGGAGAATGTCATCCAGGGACGTCTCCAGTCCCTGGTCCTGACCCAACGCCCAGGACAGCTCCTCTGCGACTCCCCGAATCATGACTTCACTAAAGCCCTTTCAGCTTTGCAGGTCACCTTGAGAGCCTTGGCGCCCACTGGACTGTACACCCCACCAGCGCCTGCCTCTTTCACGCTCAGGCCTCTGTTTATGAGCAAGTGCAGGAAGGCCAGGAGAGGCCTTGGCTAGACTGGAGGCGAGACTCTGGAGGCCCGACGGCTGTCAGGAGATGGGACGGAGCAGACGGACCATGGCTTCTCGGTGCAGAGTTGCCCGCACGGCTGGCCCCTCTCCCGCTTCGGTGCCTCTTCCCCGTGACTGCGTGAAGGTCGTTACTGGGGGGCTGTTTTTCCCTTTCCCGAACTCTATTCCACATTATCTCATTTAGTCCCTTCAACAGCCCCGGGGAGGGATAGGACAAAGGTCACCTGGGAGGACGCTGGGTCAGGCTGCACAGAAGCAGCAGAGCGGGTATGGGTTGATGCCAGGCGGCCCCGCAGCAGACTCGCTGCCTGGGGTCTGCGCGGGCCCTGCCACCCATCAAAAGAGTCTCCACCTGTGTCTGCTCATGGCGGTGGGGCCTCTAGATGACCTCTTTTTGCCTGATGAGGCCTGGCCCCGGATCTCCGAGCTGCCTGCAGCCCCGAGGTGCTGGCCCCTGCCTAGGGGACTCTTTAACAGATGCTGCCTTTCCTGGCCCCTCCTTTGCACTGGTATTTTAGAACAACCCTCCTTCTGGCGTCTGACTTCTAATCAGGCGTTCATCTCCTGTGCTGTTAAGGGGCTGTGGCTGGGAGGGAGCAGTCTCTGCTCTCTCTGCTGCTCGGAGGCAGGTGGGAGCCTCAGGATTTCTTCCAGGAGGAAGGCTGTTGGAGCGAAGGAGCAGGGAGGGGACAGAGAGAAACCCGGGCCTCACATGACCCACCTCGCAGCCGGGGCCTGTGTCTGTCCCCATTACAGGCCCAAAATGACTGCAGCCACCAAGGGCAGCTGAGCCAATGAGCGAGGCAGGCATCTCCTTGGCATCAACCTCTCTCTCTCCCTCACTCCCTCTCTCTCTCTCACACACACTCACACTAGACAGGAAAACAAGACTGACTACACAGCCAATCCAGCTCCCCCTTCCAGCATCAGTGACTCATCCTGAAATCCCCTGATTCCAGCGCCCACAGTCTGGGCTGGGGGCCGCCTAGTTCCCCCACCTGCGGAGATCCAAGCCAGCGAAGGGATTATTCAGCAATCTGGCCCAGAGACCCCTTCTCAGGAGAGAGGATATTTGTTTCCATGATAAGCAAGCCAATTCCCACATCATGATATATTTATGTTCTGTGTCTCCAGCCACCTGCTCAGACTCAAAAACAAACTCCAGGTTCCAGCCAAGGAGGAAATGTGACAGTTAATTGGGGAAATTGCAAATAGGTCATTCTAGAAGGTGGAAAGAGTGACAAGGGTTCCTGGCAGGCACAGGAGCTCACAGCTGGGGAGTCTGGGGGTTTCCTTAGAGCCGGGGAGCCTGCAGAGAAAGGCTGCTGGCATCCCTTCCCTCCGGAAAGTTCGGCTAAGCCCGGGTCTCAGGGCGCTCCCCTGAGCTGGCCTTCGTGGCAGGAGCCAGGGTGGAGCTCCCTGTCAGAGTAGGGGAGAGCTGGGCAGAGCCTCAGGGCAGGGCTGGGGCCGCTCCTCTAGTCTGGCTCGCTTGGGTACCAGAATTTGAATTACAGTTAGCAGGTGGGGCCCCCTCAGTCTCTGTAAACTGGATGTCAGCCAAGGCCTCCTAGGACTCAGGAGCTGGGACAAACTGCCTCCCGTCTCCCTACCTCCTCGTTCACAGCCTCTCCAGGACTCCTTCAGATCCCCGGGGCTGCATCCTCCCGGGCCTCAGCTTTTGGGCTCCTGCTTCCACCCTCAGAAATCCAGGTGTGAAACTCAGCTGTCCTTCGAGCTCAGAAAGCTTGAACTTCAAGTTCATTCACACAGAGCGTTCAGGAGCTGGTGGACGTCCAGGGAACTAGGAAAGGGAAGCTGGCACTGGGGCCGTGCCAGCCGACTTAAAAGCAGCAGCAGGCCCCACCAGTGTCAGAATGCCCTCTCCTGGGAGCACCCTGGCCTCCACCCACAGCCCAGAGCCCGCAGCCGGGCCCACCCCTCATCACACTGGCCTTTTCGTCTTTTACTGTCTATGCTGCAAAAACCAGAACTCGTCTCCTGCAGAGCGTTTCTCAGTCTTCTCTGCTGAGTTGGTCCAGGGACATCCAGGCCTCCGTGTCATGTATGAGGGCACTTCCTGGAACAAAGACAGTCACCTTCTTAGGAACAGTTCTGGACCCAGTAGCTAATCTAATACATCTTCCCTCTTTTTGGATGTCTATAATTATACTCAAAAAGGGTGCTTCGGGGGCTGGCCCAGCGGTGCAGAGGTAAAGTTTGCACGTTCTGCTTTAGCGGCCTAGGGTCTGCTGGTTCGGATCCTGGGTGTGGACCTATCCACTGCTTCTCAAGCCATGCTGTGGCAGGCGTCCCACATATAAACTGGAGGAAGACGGGAATGGACGTGAGCTCAGGGCCAGTCTTCCTCAGCGAAAAGAGGAGGATTGGCAGCAGATGTTAGCTCAGGGCTAATCTTCCTCAGAAAAAAAAAAGTGTGCTTCAACTCGAGAATTTATAAAGAGAAGTGAGGCACTGGGGCCTGGAAGGCTGAGTGCTGACTAATGAATGAAGTCGCGGCCTGTGTGGAGCGCCTGCTTTGCGCCCGCGCTGGGCCTGGTGCTGGGAGCTCTTGCCTAAGAAGCCCAGGTGCAGTTGCACACGTCAGCTACTGGGGAAAGGTGGGATTGAAGGATGGAAGAGGTGGGCGAGTGGGTAGAAGGAAGGGAACAAGAGGAGAGAAGGGAGCAGGGAATGGATAAACAGGACACGGGCTGGAAGGTGAACCCCCGGGCCAGCTCAGAGGTCACCGACCTTTATAGTTGTTTGAAGTGGGGTGGGGTATAGTTGTTGAGAGTGGTGTGGGGACCCACTCTGACGCCCAGAGTTGGTGCGAAGATTATTTTAAACCAAACACATTTGAGATTCAACAGGTACCCAAGGAAGCCTTTCGGGAGCTTCCCTTATCTGATTCAAGGCAGACACTTCTGGCAATGAAACCGCCATAAACGCCTCCCCAGGAGGTTCCACCGGGAAGGAAAGGAGAAGACCATCCGCATAAACACCACCACCACGGTCTGAGCTCCCGGTTGTCCCCTGAAAGTCCATAGTCCTTCCTAAAGAAACCCAGTGTTCTTCCTGCCCTTCCCTTTTCCCGATGAATCTAGGTGTGTAAACCCCTACGTCTACTTGTTGAGCCATTTCTTTCGTGCACTTCATATGCATATAAACTGTATCTTTTTCTCCTTTATCCTTTCTCCTGTTAATCTGTCCATGGTCAGTTAAATTTGCAGGCCCCAAATGCTGAACCCAAATGCATAGAGGAAGAGTTTTCCTTCCGACAGTTTGCTGTGTTGCTTTGAGACATGTCTCTGAGAAAGCCCTGGGGACAGTTCCTCCGGGCAAGCAGGCACGTTGACTAACGGGTTTATTAACCACGCAGAGGCAGCAGGCCTCCGCGGCCTGGCGTGGGAAGAGAGCTGGAAACAGCCATGATCATCTTCGATTTAGAAAACGGGAATGGGCAGGCCATAAACACTTGCCATGAGGAACTCCAGCTGGGAAACCGTGATCCAAGTACACGGCTTCCAGGGCTGGGGGCGCTGCTCCTGATCCCACATCTCGCACCTCCGTCCAGGCTCACCTGACAGCCAGACAACCCGCCTCCTCTCACCCTGGCCAGCACGGCCAATCCCCACCCCCCATAACCCACAACCCACCCCCTGGTCTGGGGATCCTGTCCCTGGGCTGTTACCAAAGCAAGAGTAGGTCCACTTCCTGGCGAGTTAAAATCAGACTCTGGACCAGAAGCAGTTGTCACACAAAGTAAACTGACTTGAGCAAATAGAAGCCCACACGGAATCATTTGCAAAGTCATGGTGTCCGTCCGCAAACACGGGAAAGCAGGGGTCTTTTATTTCGGATGGGGAACGAGTATCACAAAGGGAGAGGTGGGCATTCGCTTGTGCAGGCTCAACTGCACCACAGGCTTCCACGTCCACTGCAGGTTCTGGTCACAAGGCGTGAGCTCCTCCTGGAGAGATCTTAGCACTAAAACGAGCCCAAGGCCACAGGCGTTGCCCTTATGGTGGGGCTTGTCTGTTCAGGGTGGTTGGTGACTGCTTCCCAAACAGTTAAATGCTTCCGAACCCACCCTCGCGTCCCTCCGGGCGGTTAGTGACAGGGTCACAGGTCTCAGCTCCATCGGGAGAACTTTGGCTGCAGCCACTTCCCCCATGAGAACTGGCCCACCCTATCACGCTCCCCAAGCCTTCCACCCAGGCTCTTGGCTTCCGTGCTGCCCCCACTTCCTGTGGCCCGGGGAGGAGAGCGGAGAGGGGCAGAGCTAGGAGGCAGGAAAGCTGAGGGAAGAGGACCCAGCACCTTTTGTTTTGTGTCGGCACCCAGCAGGGCTATGCACTGCCCGTGGGTGTAGAAGACCAGCAAGGCAGGACCTCGGCCTTCGCGCCCTGATGCACCCGTGCACCGCCCCCCAAACACAGACCCACCCAGACCCACACCCACGGCCCCCAGGCCAGGAGGGTGCTCCGCCTTCTGGGGAATTCCAGACCCTGCCCTTCCCCATCTTGCCACCAGCTGTGTCAGGCCTGCTCAAGGGCACTGCTGGCATTTACCACCTGGGTCTGGGTAGGGAGGAGGGTGTGTCAGCCCCCTGCGGCCTCAGGGCCAGAAGGTGTCTCGGGCTGAGCAGAGAAGTCCAGGAGCAGGGACCTGCCCGGAGAAGACTCTTCCCAAGTCCACCTAGGGGGTCCATTCCAAGTCCAGTCACTCATTTCTCCTACGTCCATTCTTTCATCTGACAATCATTTCCTGAGCACTTACTGTGGGGCAGTGCTGTGCTAGACCCAGGGAGGCCCAGTGGAGATGGGCACAGGGGAGGGACCTCCCCATAATCAAGTCCACGGCAGGGGAGATGCTCCAGGGGAGGCCAAACACAAGGCCAGAGAGCTGGGGACTTCCCAGAGGAGGTGGCGTCTGAGCCCCATCTTGAAACAGGCTGGGACAGGCCTCTTTGGCAGGTGTCAAAGTGTGCACCACACAGAATTTTACAGAATCCAGCCGAAGGAGGCATAGGCTCGCGTTCCTGTTCTTAAGGAATTTGACATCATGCCGACATCAGCCCCACACAGTGCGGGGCAGTCCCTGCGCAGGCACACCCATTCCCTACAGGCTGAGTCGCCCTCTCCCACGCCCCCAGCCCTCACAGGACAGAAAGGTTCCCCGGGGGGAGAGTGTGCACAAACTGGCACCCTCTTAACCAGGTTCACATGGGGGGGGGGGCGCTTGGAGCATTGCAGGGTGCGAGGCACACACCCCATCAGGGTTCAGTGGGAAGCACACACGGGCAAGGCACTGTCCCAGCCCTGGGGCCTCTGCATGACTGGAGGGGGCAGTGGACAGGCTGGGGCTCCAGAGTCCACCGAGTGAGCCTTGGTCCCCAGCACCATCTAGCAGGCCTTGGCTTCTTCAGCTGTAAAATGGGATCATAATTATCTACCTCCTGGGGGAGTTTGGAAGATTAAAGGAGACCCTGGACGCCAAATACCTTGCCTGCCGCCTCACTGTGCGCGGTGAGCAGCTGTCGTGTCCCTGACCCACCCCGACCCGGAAAGGGAGGCACCGTTTAGTTACACTGGCATCTGGGGAGGTTACAGAGCCTGTTAGGAGCCAGTTGGCTGACAGGTTGCAGGTTATCAGGAGGCTGGGGTGGGGGCAGTTGGGCTGAGGAGAAGGGGCTCTGACAGGCCCCTGCTGCCCAGCTCCCACAGCATCTCTCCTGGACAGGCTGCCCCGGCTCCAGGCCTTGCTGCCCTTGGGGCTCTGCAAGGCCTGGTTAATTTAGAGGAGTAATTTTAATCAATTAGATGAAGTGTAAAATAACTGTTCTGCTCAGCTCGGAAATGGGGCTTGTCGTCTTTAAGGCTTTATTGAAAAGGTATTAAGATGGAATTGTGTGCTCCCGGCAGGTGGGCAGTGGGGAGAGGCTGTGGGGGGAGGCTGGGCCTGGAGACAGCACCACTGAGCAGGGCTCCATCTGCTCCACGCGGCCCCCACCACACTCAGCTGAACCCGGGGTGGACAGACCTCCAGACACCCCATGATGCCCAGCAAACTGCCACCAGCCGCTGTATTCCCGCTGACTGCTGGAAGGGCTTCTTCACGCGGAGCCCAAATCCGCCCCCACCCCCCACCCCACCCAGCAGCACAGGAATGAGACACGACGTGGAGTCCGAACACGTGCACACAGCACATGGCTCCAACTAAACCCTTACTGGAGAAAGTCAAATGCATCTTTCCAGGTCTCTTTGGGGAAGAAGTCCCCCTGATTTCTTCACCGTTTCTCACGGGTCGTGTTTTCTGCTCCTTCTCCACCCCGTCGCCCCAGAGAGGATTCTAGTCATGATAACATGAGCACCTGGCGGCTTGGTGCCGTTTACAGAGTTTGTTTAACGCCATTATTTCATTTAGCATTCCAATATTTACCTCCCTTGTGCCCAGAATGAGTAGCTGGTCCCCTGCATCGTGTTGGCACCCCCAGTTAGCTTCACACGCCTTTCTTCCTGCACGGAGCAGAGTCCTGGGGCAGTCACTTCGGGGGCCCACTAATTGGGAGGTCCCACGTTTGGTCTCTGCCCTGCTCCCAGCTGGAAATTTCATCCCACGGGATTCGGCGAAGGTGCCCACTGAGAAACTTAGATGCCGGATCTCCAACACGTCCTGCAGAGTGTGGAGATGAGGAAAACTAACGAGTGCAGTGGGCTGCCCTCTGAGTGGGCGGGATGCAAAGCCTCTCATTCTAGGAGCAGCCAAAGGATAAAGGAATAAATGGAGGAAGCTTACTCTCTCCGCCGTGGCAGCCCGAGGCAGCCTGTCCCCATGTGACTGACTGAAAAATCTGAGGCTGGCTTAGCAGCTTCACACCCAGGTGGACCGCCAGGGACCAGAGGACTGGCTGTGGGGCCAGCTTCAAAGAGGAGCGGCCTCGCAGCACCCTGGGCTCCCACAGCAGAACTGGGCACCTCCAGGGCCAGCACCTCTGGCCAAACCCACGTCTGTCTCCCAATGCCCTGTATTTGGAAGCAGCCCTGAGAGTTCTCTCTCTTCCATCCAGGGATGGTG